AGAGAGAGAGAGAGAGAGAGAGACACACACAAAAGAATCCGGTCGAATCACCTTCGTGCGCGTGCACAATCGTGTCCAGCACGTAGATGAGGTCCGAGGTGATGTCGAATGTCCACCAGAGCCTGGTCGGGATGGCCCGGTTCAGCTCCCAGAAGACGGCGCGGCCGATAGTGAAGACGAGGTTGTAGAGGACGGCCAGACTCACGAAGACTAGCCACTGCAACCGTGCACAAAGCCATTTCAACACTCGCGGACTACCCTGGTTCAAATAGCCAGTCAGCAACCCTGACATATAACGACAGATGGGTTGTTGCTTAAAATAATTTATACAACTACGCATACGTACACAATACTCATTTAAGTTAATGTTGTATGGTCTACTCACCCGATAGTGCAGCGGCTGCGAGGGGTCGAACGACAGGCTCCGGCTGCGCAGCAGGTAGAGCACCCCTTCGGATGTCTTGGGGGGCGGTTGGGTGCACTGGTGAAGGGTGGGCGGGGGCGGGGGCAGGGGCGCCCTCCTCTGCAACGCCCCCGCCCCCGCCCCCGGCTCGCCGCCGACCTGGTCCGGGCCCGGGGACGCCCAGCCGAGCCGGGCCTGGAAGCACAAACCAGCAAGCGGTAAGAAGATGGGTCTTGCATATTCAAGCGGGGATCTTTGGCCCGCGGGGGGTATACGCCAAAAAAATAAGAAAGAGAAGGGGAAGGGAAGGGGGTTGAGGTCTTGAGCCTATCAAGAGGTCGAGTGTGAAAGGAAGTTTAATGGGGCGTGGTCTCAGTCACGGATTACATCACCAGAAGGGCAAACCTGTCTACTTGCAAAAGTTTAAAAATCTCAATCAAGAATCGATCTTGCAAGCAGATGATACAAATTTAAGGACAGGTTTGTGTTCTAATATTCTCTCATATAGTTGCCATTATTTGTTTATAGCTGTACACGGTTCCGCCAGCGCCAAAAACAGCTAGCTGACACCTTAAGGTAACTTATATTCTTAATGTTCAGTCTAAGGGTTTTTAAAGTAGCTATCATCTGCTAAAAAGAAGACGAAGAAGAATCAATATCCCGTTCTGGCTGCTTTTCTATTTCTACTAACTTTATTACACCATTGGTCGATAATGTGACAACAAAATGACGGCGCGATGCTCTGCTCAGCCCTGCCCCCCCCCCCCCCCCTTGCTCCTTTGTTCTGATGAGTCCAACGAGCCCAGTTACAAGCGCTGGCCGTGACGATTCGTCTTCCCCAGCGCCCGCGGTCGGCCCAGCTCCAGCCGAGGCCCCAGCCCCCGACTGCCCCGCCTATCACATGATTCATGGGCTCCATCTGTCACGGACCTGACCAGCGAGACCAGAGAAATCTTTCGCGGATCATCAAACCCACGCCCCCCGGGTGAGCCCGATCCTATGGTCTTCACGCTGCAAAATCAGAGTGTGCAATCCGGATATAAAAGCGCTCGGCGTATTTAAAAAGAAAAACAAACAACCAACAGATGTGTTGCAGTTAGGTGTGCATTTCATGTCACGACGATCGAAATAAAGTACGCCCGTTTTCATTTTCAGTTTGATTCAGCAAATTACGGAGGCTTGGCGCCTACGAGACTCAGGGTAGGCCTTCCGCAGTACACGCGTGCACCGCGGCGAAACATTGCCTGCCTGCCAGGCGCTCTTAGTGCTTGGATAAGACAGTCTGGTAACGTTGAATGATGATGATAGAAGTACTTTCTGGGCGGCCTCATCCACAAGTTTAGAGTAGATAAGTAAAAAGATACCTACGGCCAAGTTCTTCTTCTATATGGCATTCTACATCATCAATTGTTACTTCGCCCCTTGTCCTGTACCCAAGACTTCACAACCCTCGACCTAGTTCAAAGTGCCAAAACCAATAAGTCAACCCAGTTAGACCTAAAATGACATTTTTTGGCACACACGACCCGCCCTCTTCTTCGCTCCGGCGTGACGCGGGGCGCACGACGTTCAGGTAACTCAATAGCCCCGCGCCTAAAGCCACAGCCGCCATGGCGTTAATGCCGTGCAGGAGAGGACAGGACAGCACACGAAGGTGTAGGTTACCACCGGAATACCAAGTGTGTAAGTGTTGCGCACCTGTGTGTGAAGGAAATTCGTACAGGAGGCACAAAGTGTGTGAATTTCAAAGAAAAATTCACGCCTTTTGCTTACGTAACTGTGCGAATAGGCATTTACACACCTTCAAGTGTGTGGCATTCAGACACTTGAGTCATCAGTTTACATCACAACCTATTTTTTTTTAAATAGGTCTTCACTTGTTTTTTATTAAAAAGCACAATAAAGGATAGATAGTTTTTCTTTTTCTTTACCTGTATGGACGAGGCTACCCTGTTAAGGCCCCGCCGGAAGCGAGATGAGGAAGCGGCCGCCTGCCCGCGGTCCGAGCCAGCTTCCTGCAAAACAACAACAACGTCATCGATCGCAGTCACTACCTTTGATAAAGCCTGCGTTTCGGACACCATGTCGCACGCACGCACAGACCTACACAAACAAACACACACATACCGGGTGTTGCATAAAAGACACAGGTGCGGGCGGGTTTGCCTACCCAAGGGGCTATGGCGCCTTACGGGCAGAGCGGGTAGGCAAACCCGCCCGCACCTGTGTCTTTTATGCAACACCCGGTACACACAAAAACCACACACCAAACATCTTGCGCTAAGAAAAAAGATTTTTGTTAATTTACACTTTTAACATTTTTTGTTGTTGTAATTAACGATATACGAGCTGTGTTCTAAATGTACGGGTGGCATGATGAATTTAAGACAGAAGTCATCTTTGTTTGTCGAAGTCGAGACGTAATGTCATGAGAACACACTCTGATTATGTTAAAACCGTAACTATTGCAACCTATTTGTGCAGGGTTGCCAGCGCCAAGAGGGGTCAAAAAAAGTGAAATAGTGACTTGACTCATTCAAAAAAGTGACAAAAAAGTGACAAAAAAGTGACTTTTCCGTCCAAAAAGTGACAAAAAAGTGACTTTTCTGGTAGGAAATTTGCAATTTTTGGAGTAAAGGGCTCAAATTTTTCACACTTTCAAAGCTCTAGAGTAGTAAAATCAGTGAGGAGCAATATAAAAAGGAAAAATATAAGGATTCAGTCAAAGTTTAATAGTAAAACTTTCAAGTAACAGTTTTAAAGAACACAACACAAAATTCGCCTCGTCCTTGTCTTGGGAACACGGTAAAATGGTCAGTTTACCCTCTAGAACTCCGAAAAAGTGACAAAAAGTGACTTTTTTCCCAAAATAGTAGGAAAAGTGACATTCCTCCAAAATAGTGAAAAAAAGTGACAATAGTGAGTCGCTGGCAACCCTGTATTTGTGGTATTTGTTGGATACGTTCTAGTTGGAAATCAGCCATCTAAAGGCCTCGAAAACCCAACGTAATTATGTATCCAACAAATGACAATCGCAGCCATTCTAAACCCTAAAAAAAACTGAAGCAATGTTTTTTTCTCACATTTTCCGAGAGTTACGCAACACACCAGTCACCCCTATGCCGCAGGCCCGGCGCCGCGCCACGCCCGGCCGCCGTCGAGTTGATATCCGGCCTAACAACACCACGGATATCCTCCCCATCCCGAAATCAAAGGCTCCGCAGCGCTCTGGACCCCGCAGCCCGCAGGGCGTTCCAACAAAGAAAACTCTGCAACGCCGACGGCGAACGCCGTGGCGGCGGCTGTATGGGGGGGGGGGGGGTCACAGGGAAGGGGTGGCGGGGGCACAAGTATAGTGATGTACAATAACAATTCTGTAGGATCTTTATACGCGCGCCACCCTAGCAGCATCGCTAGCGGGGCTGTGTGCAGCAGCGCCCGGCCGGCTCCCGCCAAGGTCGCCGTCGGGCCGAAGGGAAGCCGAAGGGAAGCCGAAGGGAAGCCGAAGGGAAGCCGAAGGGAAGCCGAAGGGAAGCCGAAGGGAAGCCGAAGGGAAGCCGAAG